AGTGTACCAAAATTTAAAATAATTTCGAGTAGCATACCATCGGACCTTCCTAATTTGGAATACTAGTCCGTCCCCCCCTCCACTTTTTGGGATGGATTGACGCCCTTGACCTTACTTATATAATCCAACATCTGAAGAGCTCGAATTTTTGCACAAAAGTTACGACTGCTGTTGCAACAACGACGTTTCAAGCTGGCGGATATTTTGACTTTAAGGTAATTTAACTCGTAAACGAAATCGGTGACCCACAAATATTATTTAAAAAAATAATTTCTTTTATAACTTTCTCTTAAACAATTTAAAAAAATTCTGTGGAGCCGAAATTTTTTAAATTACATACAGGTGATTATTGATAATAACTCTTTTTTGGCTTCACAGAATTTTTTTTAAATTGCCAAAATAATTGACTATACTAAGAGAATTGTATTTTTAAAATAAAATTTGGTGGTCACCGATGTCGTTTACGAATTAAATTACTTTAAAGCCAAATTATCCGCCATCTTGAAACGTCATTGTTGCCATAGCAACGGCAGTTGCGCAACTGTTGTGCAAAAATTCAAACTATTTAGATGTTGTTTTATATAAATAAGGTACATTTTGTTTATCAACCAAAAATACGCATCTAAATCGTGAATTTTCAGTTTTTTAAAAACTGTATTGAGCCCGAAATGTACTTTTCTGTGACCAAAATGCAAAACAAGCAATTCTATAAAAACATCAATAAAACGCTGGCGATGCAGTGCTACATGTTTAGATTCAATTAGTCTGCTGCACAAATATTCAGCTTTTATTTCACAAATGTACGTACTAATAGAAAAACTACAACATGCATACATACAATTGTTCCTATATACAAAAACCCTTTTAAAAACTATACTTTCCTCAATTCAACAGGGGCCGGCTGTTCAAAAGTCGAATTCTTGGGCTTAATTCGGTCAAAATTGTTTTTTATGCATGTTGTAATGAACAAATTGTTTTCGGCAACTAAAATTGTGGACTGTAGTTGTCTGTCGTAAAGCATTTTTTCAAGCATCTTCATACTGTAAAAAAACCAGGATATAAATAATAGAATTTTATTTAGGCCTAGTTTACCTTCTGCATGTATTCTTTTTTTGAGTAGAAAAGCATCTATATTGCAATGAAACTATTAAAAAGTTTTTTATAAAATTTATCGCGTCGTTTTAGCAGCTTGTCAGCTATGATTTTAGTAACAAGTTCCGAACGACCCCTGAAAATTATTTTATTCCTGAAAAACCTTTGAAAACCCTGGAATTTCAAATTTATTCGTGGAAAACCCAGAAAACTAGGAAACTGAGCTGGGTATAAGATCACACCTAAACTATTTAACACTATCTAAAAAGAAATATTGAACAAAAGTTTCTTGCATTATTTATTGTCTCAGCATTTCTTGCATGCATGGGCATATCACACGACGGCGCGACGTTACGCTCATGCAAACTGCTACAAACCCAAAAATATCTGCGCAAGATGAACTACTAGCCATCGTTAACGTTTCTTACCGGTTAAATTAAACACTTACATTTATATTTCAAATGCCACTGGAAAAAGGATGAAAAAAGTCCTGGAAAACCATGGATTGTTTAAATTATGTGAAGGTGCATGTACGAACACTGTTGTAAAGAAACAAACGCAACTGATCTCAAATGTACTTGGCAACTGGAATTTCATCGGAATTCATTATAACCGTAAACCACCAAACAAAAAATATTCTGTGAATTTGCAGCTTCTACAAATACTAGTGAACAATTATATTTCCAGCATGTAATCAACTAATTGACGCCTTGAATTATGTACACAAATTAAGAAATTAAAAATTTGGACTTGGAACCGCTTGTTAATTTCCTTAAATTTGTTTTAGAAAACATGTCCTATAAAAGGCTCAAAGCTGAAAAGTCAAATACTCAAGGCAGCTCCATATCGCAGGACCTCGTCATTTGTGGTGCAGCGTATGGAAGAGCCGATGTCACTGAGAAAATAAGAACCTTGCGGAAAGATAAGAAACTCTCCGTTAAAGCCAGCAACGACGTTTTTGGTGACTCTTGGTATGGTGTGAAAAAAAGCCTTGTAGTTGTTTACAAGTATGGCAGTAATAGTGCACTGCTACAGGTTGTCAAGGAGGGTGAATCCCTAGAAATTAATCCCCCGTCTACTGCTGTTAGTAATGGAAAGAATCGGCAACATTATCTGTCACTGAAAGCAGGTAAGGCCGTATCTAGAAAGGATAAATCTACATTGAAACTAAATATTCTCGGTGCTGCTTATGGCCTTTCGGATGTCACCTCAGTTGCTCAATCCTTCGTGACAGCTAATCAAAAGTTCGATGAAGTGGCTTCCAATGCAGTTTGGGGAGATGAGTGGCCAGGCACAAAAAAAACTCTTGTTGTTGTGTATGAATACGATGAAAATTTCATGCTTGATATTGCTGTTGAAGGAGATCAAATGCACTTTATAGCATCCGCATCCCCTCCTCTTACCATTCTTGGTGCTGCATATGGGCTGAAAAGCGTCACGGAAAAAGTGAAGGCACTGGTGAAGAATCGTTCCTTGAAGGCAATCGCTGATAATGATACATTTGAAGATGGTTGGCCAGGAATTGTGAAAACGTTAGTGATTGTATATCAGTATGGAGAAGAGCATCCATCCATTACTGTCGTCAAAGAAAACCACTCATTTGAGTTGCTGTACTCTAAAGGAAACAATTTTCAAGGTTCAACCAATCCCAGCACCCTCACGATCTTGGGAGCTGCATATGGGCCAAAGAACGTTACGGATAAAGTTCAAAGGCTTGCCAAAAACGGCAGTACACCCCAAGTCAAAGCCAGCAATGCTGTTTTTGGAGATCCTTGGCGTGGACAGGTAAAAAGCTTGGTCATTGTGTATCGGCATGGTAGCAAAGCACCCCGAATGCAAATCGCAGCAGAACACTCAAGTATTTCTGTGTCAATTTGTGGGCCACAACAACATGTTGATCACACGGACACCTGGAACCTCTTGCAGTATGATGATCCAACTATCGTGAATACCCTAACTGCAATGGGACCGACGATTGCCAGTGCTCTTTCTCCACCGGGTTCAAGCTCGTCAAACGAAGCTGCGGTGCCTGTCGAACAGGTATTAAAATCATTTTACTGTAACTATCACCTTAACAAATTTGCTATATCAGTAATAAACGTCACTAATATACTTGCTTTCTGTAGGTAAAAACTGATGCAAATAGTGAGGACACAAAGTCGAAGTTTCGCTCAGAAATCATAAAACAAATAAAGGATTTATTTGAATTAAAACAATTGGATGCAATTACCGAAGAAGAATATGAAGAGAAAAAGAAAATATTATTAAAATATATATAAAATGCAATGTAAGGCCCGGCTTATACGATAGACTTTTCAAGAGCCGAACTTCATTAACCGAATTAAATACATGAGAAGCACAGTCTCTGAATCAAATAAGCGCTGCGTTTTATATTAAGCATTCCTGAATTAAAAAGTTCACCTAGTTCAGGCGTAGCAATTGATACACCGGGCGGAAATCGTAGTTATAAAGATAAAGAGCGGAGCCCAGCAAATAACTTTAAAGCCAAACATAATAAAAGTAAAAAATTTATTAGCTAACGTTTCGTTGTTTACAATACAACATCTTTTAGATTGCTCTGAAGATGTTGTATTGGAAACAACGAAACGTTAGCTAATAATTTTTTCACTGTTATTATGTTTGGCTTTAAAGTTATTTGGTGCGCTCTGCTCTTTAATTTATCCTTAAACTGGTTCAGGCGTGTTTCAAGGCTGGATCCAACACTGTTGATTCATGTAGCCGCACTTGTCATGAGCCGTACCAATTGTATAAATTATGATAATGGTCAAATGCGTATATTTCTATATATTGTTTTCGTCCTCGCGCGCGTGAAAAGTAGCACCGTGAACGGGGGAATATTTGACAATACCCATCCTGTATCACATTTAAGGTGATACAGGATGGTGTATCGGTGTTGGGGGAAATAAAAATGTATTCAATGCGTATCACAACATATACAATGCATTATGGCGTACAGGATGGCCATTCACAGCATCTTCTTAGGATAACAGCCACCATCAAGATATTAGGCAACAATTTTCTTCTGGTTTTGTTATTCGCAAGCAATTTTCTAATAAAAATAACCCTTTTCGGTCCAGGCGTAATGATGATCTACATCGCTTTTAAAAAAACTGTTTAATTACGAGAACTACGAAAACCACACGAGATTATATATAAAAAACACCGCTCTTTTTGTTGTTATGATCGCCACCGATCACCCCAGGCAAGAAGCGCGGATAATTAAGTACGGCTCATGAAAAGCACGCCTGTTTGAAATTAAACAGTATACGCCTATTTTATTCGACTGGACTATGAATTAAGTTCTGCTCATGAAAAGTAAAAACCGACGTCTAAACCGGGCCTAACGATCTTCAAAAAGATAAAATCACTAAAACTGGAATTTTGGGGGTGGCGCTGCGAGGGCCAAGTTATAGATAAATCAATATTTGCGGCTACAACATGATACGCGATCTGTCGCCGTATATATTTGGATCTAACGACATTTTCGATTACATTTCTTTAACTTTTTCATTCTCTGTGTCACACGGAGTTTCTGTTTCAGAAATAATGTTGTAAGTTGCAGCAGAATGGAATTGGAAACAAGTTAGAATTACCCGGTATATTTGCCTAATTTGAAAGCATATTTTAAAATATATTTTGGGAAACCATCTTAATTTTTGAGGTATTTGGAACCAAAATATTCTGCCATCCGCCATTTCGTTTCATAATTAGATCTAACTAAATTACGTCACAACCAGGGTAGACGTTTTAAAACAAAACAATAACATCAATGTAACGCTTAATATACATAGTTTGTGATTTAATTTAAACAGACAATAGCCAAAAAATATCAAGGTTTAGCACTAAAATGACATGAGAAGTATTGTTACCCTGGTACTGACGTCACGCATAACTGTCTGTTGAAAATCTACGGTATTAAAATCATACACCAAAGATAAGTCAAACGACAATATGTCACCATAATACGCGGAGTAATTCAGATACAATAGCGCGCTGAAGTTAGATTACCTTTTTTTTATACACCCTGTATTATACACGTCTTTCAACGAGCACTGTTTAGTATAGTGTTCACCACATTAATAACTTTTGTAAACAGCTTTCGTTTTGACATGAATAAGCTTTAATTTTTTGCTTTAGGGACCATTCATTATTTATGACCGGGGGTGGGCTGGCAAAATTCAATTAACAACTAAACTAAATGTCCTGCCCAGTAGTATAGGAACTAGCGTTTCTAGACCACTAGTTTTTTCTAAACCACCAGTTGTTTTTTTCTAGACCACTAGTTTTTACCTTTAGTAAAAATTATTTATTTTTATTATATTAAAATTAATGGTTGGTCCATTTAATTGAAATGTGAAACTGCTATTCTTGTTTTTCATTTAACTTATCTTAAAGCTTCGGGATCACCTTACCAGTCCGGCTGAGACTCTAATACGTTTATCCTACACTTTTCCAATATCGTCCAACCTTCCTATTCTAACGTCTCTTCGACAACTTTTATTCTCTCCTTGGGGGTACACAAGGCAGGGGGCCCTTGTAGTCCGGATACACTGTCGGCGTCATCCTTTTTACCCTGTGTGGTCACTTCAACCTTAATATCATTGGATACAGAGAAATTTATATCCCCAACCTTCCCATTTTTGTTAGACCTCCTACGACAGCCACAGATATTACCCAAACAGGAGAAGCATGAGCGCCACTTTGACATGATACTTTATGATACAACATATGTTATACACCGGACTCTGAATATCGAAGTGACCAGCAAAAAGACAAGTCCATACTAGAACCAGTTGGCATTGAGTGTTCTGGTTTAACTATAATACACCAGGCTAGCGTGTTATCTACCAACTCAGCTTGGTTTCCTAAATAGAACATGCTATTACCCTTGAATACGTAGCAAGCTGTACTTCCGCCGTTACTTGTGAAGGTTCCATTGAACCAAGTGTGTGATAGTCTTCTTAAGTCTATTGTTCTGAGAACGATTTCCTTCTTGACTTGTGTAAATTTTCCATTAGACTGCTTTTCCCATACAGTAGCCCACAGGATGAGTCCTAAGGGTATATTTAAAACAGTTGAAAAAGTTGGGAAATCTGATTTAATAGTAATTGACTCAAGGTTGAGGTCTGTCATATTATTAATAGTATCTGTTCTCCATGAAGGTGAATCTGATCTTGACAGTAAGCATAGTACCTTGTTGCTGCAACTGATACACCACGATATCCCCAAATCCACTCTGCGTAGATGTGACGGTTTATTCTTACGTATCTCTTATCAGCCACTGCTTGTACAAGACCTGAGGAAGGTTTTAGGAAATTCTTTTCTACCCATTGCTTGTTAACTGCATCCTTATCATTTACCGGATCCCTTAGATCAAGAATACCACTTGAGTCTCCCATATCCAAATCTCCCTTTACCAGTCCACCTCTACTACTCATGAACTCATCAGTTGCCCATTTCTTATTTACAGCAGAACCATTCGTAGTAGGATCACCTACCCTAGTTAACTCGTAGTCGTTAATATCAAGATTGCTTGCTAGGGTACCACCATTACGCTTCAGGAACTGTTTACACCAGGAGTATATAGTATTAGCGGAAAGTGCACTGGTATCCCCAACCGACCCACCTTTGAGACCCGTAATACTATAACCACCCATGTTAATATTACCAGTCATTGTGAAGCCGCTACTACTAA